TGACGACGCGCACCCACGAGGAAAACCCGGTTTTACGCGACAAAGTGTTTCCCCGAAACACGAGGAACGATATCCGTCAGCCGATCGGATATATCTAGGGTAAGATACGGAAGAGATAAACCGGATTCGGGGTAGCTGCCGGAAACCGCAGGCGGTTTTCCGGTGCAATTTACAAATTCACGTTGCGCGAATGCAAATGCTCGTTGCAACTATAGTTTAACGTTGCTTTACAATACTCGGTTTAACGTTGAAATATTGATAAATTTATCCCCGAGAATGCGCTGCATGCATTCCCTCTTGAACGTCAAATCGTTGCGTTCTGATAAATCGAATTGATAGGTGATCGAGATAAAACACGTCGCATCGTTCTAGGGACTGCTCAGCTGTAGGCGTAATATCGATAGTTTTTTTTTTATTTTATATTTTAGTTGGACATTGTGAGAGGGACATTGAAAGTGATGTCGCAGTAATTACTTTCACAATGATTCTAATTAACCGTAGAAATACAATATTTTTCTCTTCTTATTTTTCTCACGCAGGCGATGCTTTAGATAATTTGCAATTACAATTAATATATACTCGCATTTTTTATTCAACACTCGCCTTTGAATATAATGTAACATTTAATTAAAATGAATATTGTGTGTGTGATCTTTATTTTTTTTTCTTCAGTTCTCGCATGTCTTATTTCAAACGACTCTTATTTTGCAATCTGTCAATGCATTTTTGACGTAATACTTAAGTCTCGACGACTTTGTATAATATCGGGAAGAGAGAAATATTGCGCGACACACACATTTGCGAGCAACACCGACGCACTCGCGTCTGTAAACTGATATTTCTTACGGCGTAATTTCGTGATCGATCGTACATCCTATAAAAATACGCGCCCCTTCGTACACACGATAACGTAACAATAATGGTTAGAGTGTAACATTCCTCGTTACGTTTTAATTTTCCCGTGGCGTAATGTGTGTGATCTTTCACAAGCAATTATCACTTAATATAATTTCATTCGTCAATTTTATATACGAGTTCAGATATTGATTACGATAATAATGTGCTACTGACCCAATCCTCTCGAGACTGCTATAAGCGATGCGCTGTTTGAGTAAAAAATATTACAACTTTTATTTCATTATTATTAAATGATTTGACTGTCATTATTGCGGAGAATATTTATTATAAAATTATTATATATTATGTAAAATAGAATGATTTATTATAGAGAATTAGTTATTATATCTTTCTTGTATGTAATTTTCGAATAATATTTATTCATCTTTTTGTCAATTAATATCTACAGATAACATGAAGCTGAAATGCAAAGAGAAACACAAGAAATAAAAGGGACATATAACTGTATTTTAATTTTTTTTGTTTATTTTTATTCTGGAATTTGATTTACTCATCACACGTGCAGATTTAATTTGAAAATTTTTTATTTTTAAAAAAATTTCCAATTTTCTTTTGAAATTCCGCGTTAAATGAATTAGAAAGACGCTTTGCATATCTATGCTGTCTTTTTAATAAAGGCTTTCACCTCGCCTCTTAATTACCAATTATGTATCAGAGCTTTTTTCGATTATTATTAACAAAGCATGAATTCAATATCGTTTAATATTTAAATTAATGTGACAATTTGAAAAGGGGATAAAAAATTTAAATTATTAATAATTTTATTACTTTATGTCGATTTGTTCGATTGTTCCATTTTATTAAAACTTGCAGACAAATTATTCAACACTTAGTTATACGGTAACATTCCTTTCTCAAGAAACTTTTTATCCAACACCAGGATAAGTGTACTTCTCTAAACTACGGAAAGATTAGACACAAAGCATTTGAGCGTATGAGATGAGAGAACAAAGCGGTAAACTTATCTGATCTTCGATCCCTTAGTTGGCAAATAAATTCCGCTCTTCTGTAAGCGACGGAATTTGCACCCTTAAAATGGGTCAGACATGAACAAGCCAAAACGCGCAAAAAAGCGCAAAGTGCTGTCTTTGAGTTTTATTCTTTTCTACAACGAAATTCACCATGCCTTTGCCACACTTTATATAAATCATTCTGTAAAACAACGGTCGCATCTTCCGCATTTTGAGACACGAAAAGTGTTTATGCAAACGAACAAGGAAAGTTTAGAAACATTTTATTTTTATATTTTTCTTTTATATATGTAAATATAGAAGAAAAATGTCTAGAATTCCTTACATTATCTAATATTTTTTCTTTTTATATACAATATGAAAAAAAAAATTTAGAATCTCATATATTACGTCACACAATAATTTTATAGATACTCATAATGGATATACATTATATATATTTTATCTTTGCTAAAATGTGTTATTCGTTAATTTGTTATTGTGTCGTTATATTGTCAACGTGTATTTGTATAATATTAATGTTGTATTAATTTTCTCTCTTTCAGAGAGTTTGGATAATCGCGTCTTATTGTAAATGGCAAAAAGGGTGTCAAAAGGTGTTGCGCGACAAAGAGCGAAACTCGTTCGCTGCTAAATCATCTGTGCCCTGCGACCTCCGGAAAGTAAACTCGGTGCGCGTGATCGCTAAAGTAGGTCGGTTGAAATGGGTCGAAAATAAATTTTTCCGCTGACTATCGCGTCGTTTCGCCAAGGAAGTGTTTTCCTTACGCGCGTGATCCATCGACTCGCGTACCTATCTTCGTCGATTTTCCTCTTATCTCGCTAGCCCCTTCATCTTGGACTCTTGGACCGGCTTCGCTCTCTCGTTCGCGGATAATTGTAACCGGAATTCTCTCGAGGATATGTATCTTAAGTTTCTTTCCAAAAGAAATGGAATTGCTTGTTTCTCTAAAGATATTAAATTCATTTTAATAAATTGCAACTTTAAAAAAATAATAATAATGCTAATAATAAGTAATTACAGAGTGATTACCATGTAAGAATTAGCATTACATTATTATATAATTTGCATTAAGTTATGTAATCTGTTTTCTCGACTTTATATTATGCCATGTGCGTACATATAGTATACATAGATACTAATTAGCATTTTTATTTGTTTTTCTAGTTTAAAGAGTTTATAGATATTAAATTTTTTATTAACTAGAACAACACAAACGCGTCATCCTTCGATTTTATATTAAAAAGTGTATTTAAAAAAATGATGTAAAGTTTGTTTGAACTCAATTAATATTTTTTGACAGAAATCAGCTGATAACTGTCAAAAATGTAAATCGATTTTAAAGTGTTGTAATATATTATTCAAAATATAGTATTATTTTAATTTTCATAACATATATTATATTTTAAAGTTTAATTAGTGAATTAACGCTTTAATCAGCTGATTTCTGTCAAAAAATATTAATAAAGCATTAATTTGTTAATTAAATTTTAAAATAATAATATATTAAAATAGTATCATGTTGTATATAATATGTCATAATACCTTATCCGCGATTAATATTTTTTGACGGAAATCAGCTGATAACTGTCAAAAATATTAATCGAGTTTAAAGTATCACAACATATATTCTCATCTTCATTATTTTTATTCCATCAACTTTTTTAGAAAGCGATTCCCATTACTTTCAATTTTACAAGCACATTACACAGAGATAACAAAAAATCTCGAACCAGACGGGAAAATGAGAAATCTCAGATTGATCGTCGGTGTCGATTCACCGCGCTGCGTCTGACTTACAAGTGTCATACACTACTGACATTTCCCTCATTCCTTCAAAATCTCCACTTATACTACTTATTGTCCGACTCGAACTAACGAAGTAACTATACTAATACCTTGAAAAATCAAGCCAAAAGAATGATTTATATCGCGATTGGCGATGTCTCGAATTTTTATTTTCCCGGAAAATACCTATTTTCTTACGAGATGAAAAGAGGTAAACATTCACACAGACACACACATACAGGTGAGTTTTTCATTCAGGCTTGAAATCCGCCACTATTCCGCTCGGGGATTGGCGACGCTCTTCACCACCGCCACCCTCGTCGTAGCGCTTATCCACGCGCCCGCGTCGTTTCGCGGCGTCGGCGTCGGCGTTTCGCTCCGAAGCGGGGGTGGGGGTGGGGCATCGCGACGCCAGGCGTCGCTGGCGTCGAGCCGGCGGCATATCGTCCGGAGTGCGAGTGCGGAGAGCGTGTCGTCGCCGCGTCCGGCCGTGTTCCGCGTTCGCGGAAAAAAAACAAGAGGAGACGAAAGAGAGCCCGCATATTCAATCTAACCGTATACCTGGACCGGAAGTACCCGCCGGAAGTCGTTCGTCGAATCAGAGGATAGAGAGAGAGACGGACATCCTCGCCGGCGCGCGCCACCAAAGGGAAACGTGTACGCGGGGCGAGACCCAACGCGCGGTGGAATGCGCGCATATATAGGAAAAGGGAGCACTGGCCGTGCGGTTGCTCGAGCGAGACAGAGAGCGGTGCAGTGACATCGGGGTTGCCCGCGGTAGGCGAGATCGAAGAGGACGAGAGAGAGAGAGACCTCGAAGAGGAGAAAACAGGATCATCCCCGAGTCGTCGTACGAGAAGCGCGAGGGAGCTTAAGTAAGGGAAGGAAATCGGGATTGATCCGACCCGATGATGATATAGTCGTCCGATAACTAACTCTCTCCTCGTGTCGTGTTCGAGAGAGTAGTCGGATATAACGTCGGGAAGAGGGTGGACGCCGTATATGGTAGAAGAAGCTTCGTAACGCGTCGGTTTCCGTCTCTCCGCGAAAGTGTATATGTGCGCGAAAGAGAGAGAGAGAGAGCGCGTATATATAAATATAATAGAACGCACCTAGATATCTATTTATAAGTTTACACGAGGCGAGAGAGACCGCGCCGCTGCGAGAGGCCGAGATAGAGGAAGAGGAGGAACGGAAAGAGAGGCCCGCGAGAAAAAGAGGAAGGAGAGAGACAGAGAGAGGGGAGGAAAACTATAAAAGAAGAGGAGGTGGTGGTAGCGGAACGTGTGCGCCCGCGCGCGCGCGCGCTCGGTTTTCCCACGTCTACTCGTCGTAGTTGTGTGCCGGTCGTGCTTGGTGATTGGTGGTAGTATAGTGGGTATCCTCTCGTGTGCCGTGCGTGTCCAGGAAGAAGAGGTACCAGAAGAAGAAGAAGAAGAAGAAGAAGCAACGGGTCGCGTCCCACGAGGGTAGAGAGGGCGAAAAATATATAACGTAGAAGAAGAGGGTGCGTTGCGCCCTGCGTGAACCTCGGAGCCGGTGGAGAAAGGGCGACTCTCTCTCTTTCTCGCGCGCGCGAGTGCGTGAACGCGCGGCGATGACGAGCGGATACGCCCGGCGGCTCACGTGATACGCAGTCCGCTGTTGTGCTCCGCCGCCGAGGAAGAGATATGTGGTAAGTGCGTTCGCTTGATTTCTTTCGTTTCCTTCTTTCGGTCATCCACGACCAGGACCGAGATCCTCATCTCCGAGGATCGACGGAGGGACTCTCTTGTGGCGCCAAAAGTTGACGGACGCCGATCGATGAAATTCTCGACTGGACGTCACGCTTCGCGCGATTCCTCGATATACTGTTTGGAGGAGACATGTGACGTGGTGATCGATCGAGAGCTTCCTGAAGATCATCGCCGACGAACACGTCTAGGGTGACTTTTTTTTTAATAGAGAGAGAGTAATTATCCAAAATTACAAATTTTATAATTATTATAGGGTCGTGTAAAGTAAAAAAATTTAGGCCAACCAGCATTGAATTATTTGATTTTAATATATTATATATTTGGAAGGTAAACGTTGGTTCTGACGAACAGATATAATTATGTAAAAATAAAAAAAAAATTAATTGAAAAATCAGGGTATGAACTCTCTTGTTAATGAAGAACGCGTTTCGTTCTTTGTTGAGGTTTTACAGATCGATAAGGATCGTCATCGATCACCTCCGCTCGATTCTTAAACCGTCCAGAGGGAATCGGTGAGATTATATAAGACGATTATACGTCCCGTCATCGCGTCTAATATTCCGCGAGGTCGTTTAACTTGGCGGGTCTTTACGTAAAATAGGTCGGTGATCTTCGAATTTCAACGTCGATTCTATTTTAACAAATTTCGTTCCAAATCATTATCGGAGTATTGAATAGCGATATAAAGATATTGGAGCACGCGACAAAAAAATAATTTTATTTAAAAAAATTATACTCTGATAACAGAAATTTACTATTTTTGTTACCGCTGCATCTCGAATCTATATATATTTCTATTATCTATATATCTATTTTTATTTAAAAAAAAATATGATTGTATAGATAAAGACTCTGGAAATAATATATGAAGAGCGGATAACAACACGAAAAGCTCGCATCGCGATACGTTATTTATACGATAAGCCACGCGATCATTAATCGACCGACAGATTATTAACCAAGATAGTTTCGAGCGAAAAATAGGGTTCAGGCAGCAGATGTTTTGAGAACGAACGCAGCCGTTTCGTATAAACGGCGCGAGAGAGCGAGGGAAAAAAGCGCCCTAAAAAGAGTTCCCAAGCCTCATTTCCAAGTTTCGCGCGCGCCTGGTTTTTACGCCCGGTGGACGTTTACAGTCGTTACCAGGACACCGCAGAATTTACATCGAGATACACTTTTTAACTAGATTCTGTCGAACGTTCTGTCTAGCTACGTCGGCGCCAGCGAGACCATCTTTCTCTTTCTCTCTCTGTGTCCCCGTTGCGGGTTCGATTAATTCGAGTAAAAGTCTTAATCAATCACGAAAAATTTCGCGACGAAACGCGATATCGATACCAATCATATTCGTTATGGACGCGAAAATCATTAAAGAGAAAAATATTTTCTAATTGCGAGATCACGTCACGTTCAATTATACGGATGTCTGTTGAATAAAAGAAACCAAATCGAGAGAAACGAGGTTTTTCTCCCTTTTTCTCTAATGGAGAGAAAAAATTGATGGGAATAGTTTAAGAAACTTTTACCCTGCTTAAAAAATCAATTATTAAATTTAAAATGATATAATAGAGAAAGAATAAAAAAAAAAGATATCCTATTCTTATATAAATATATTATGAATGTCAAATATGGTATATAATGATAAATGTCAAATATAAAATGGCATATAATTGTGTTCACTTGAATAGTAACATAGTGTGTCTAATTATTATTATTGTTATTGTTACATAAACTTTTCGAGGCAACAAAGTAGCTCTCGAAGCGAAACTCGTCGTGTTTTGAACTTTAAATATCGATGTAGGGCGATTATGGGAAAAGTGTGTGTATGTGTCAAAATATCTTCAACTTTAAATGATTCATACTGGCACATACAATACCCTTCATACAAAAGCCATCTGCATTTATAACCGTCGTGTTAAGCCGCGCTGGTCCAGCGGCGCAAGGACAGCATAATAAAGTAAAGATCAGATATAATAAAGCTGTCCGCGTCGAGACTATTTCAAAGGGAGTTTGAACGGCGTTGTTGTTTTAACGCAAACTATTGAAAGAAATAAGAAAGTCCTTTTTTTCTAACATTGAAAAGAGAGAAGGGAAACGCCGAGTGACCTTGCGCGTTTAATCTCCAGGATTGCATCCTGGACCGGATTAATATATTTCATTAAACTGCTCGGCATTTTCACGCGAGGATGGATGCATGTATAAATGTCGAAACAAATTGGCGAATTTCATTACGCTATTTTTCTTCGTCGAATGCGATAATTCAATCTTACAGATATGCCGGCGAAATTCCGCCTTTTTTCTACTCAAGCCTTCAGTAGTGATCGATGGCGATAGTCAGACCCGTATCTCATAAATGCGGGATATACGGGATTCCTCAAACTGTATTGCACTCCTATCTTGAACGTAGACTGTCTCCGATATCTCGTATGCAATGATAAATCGATAATAATATAGTGCTGTTTTAGCTTTTTTGGATTGTCAAATAATATTGATGCATATTAAATTAATACACGTGGCGCGTTTTTGGCGAGATATTAAATTTTTTTAAATATTTTTCCGCAAACGTCATTTATATACGTATAGATAATATTTCAACAAATCTTTTTTTATAAATTACACTAAGGTAATAAATAATTAATTGAAAATCTATGAGTAAAAAATACTCTTTGTCAGTCTGCAATTAAACTTAAGTCGGGAGTAATAAAATATTTATAATTTTTGTATTTAAAATTTTGAAAAAGGATTGGAAAAATAATTCTATCATTATTCTTTTCGACAGAAAACTCAATATCAATGTATATGTATACAGATAATTATACATTTCAACAATTTTTGGTAAATAATATTAAGATAATAAATATATTAAATAAAAAAATCTAGGAATTAAATAATTAAATAAAAATCGATGAGTATAAAAACATTTTTGGCCAAATAAAAGTAAACTAAAGTTGTTAGCAATAATATATTTCTAATTAAAATATTTTTAATTTTTATATTTCAAGTTTTGAAAAAAGACTGAAAAAAATATTCCATCATTATTCTTTTTAACAGAAAAATCAATACCCATATATGCATGGATATGCATTTCAACAATTTTTTTTTGTAAATAATACAAAAGTAATAAATATTGAATAAAAATCTAGTAATTAAATAAATAATTAAAAGCTAAAATTTTTCTAATTTATATCCTTAAAATTTTGAAAAAAAGATTGAAAAAGATTCCAATTATTCATCCTTTCGAGGAAAAAATCAGCATCAATATTTATACCTATATTAATGAATATTCTTTCGGTCTCTCTGAATTAATGCAGAAAGAAAGCGAAGCGCACCCATTCTGTTCGTGCCAATTCGCGAGGAACTGGCCGCGGCGATGATGGTAGCGCTTATTTTGCGCTCTAATGACAGATACATTTACTCGGCTCGCTATGCGCCGATATGCCGACACGTGTCGCCGGGAGAGAGGTACGCGCGCTATCAATACGCGGTTTGTTCGAACTACCACTAGCACCACTGTACGTCCGATGCCAACTGAGCTTCTTTACATACCCAGCGAGCATCGCACGATACATTTTACCCGCCGGCGTACACAAACTGCGTTTTGATTCATCGGTTAAACTCCGTTCTGTCAGTGTGCATCCGTTTTCCGATTAGCGATGCGGCGAAACGGATATATACGAGGGAGAAAACTCGGTCGCTTTGCATCTCCCTCTCTGTCTCTTTCTCTCGTCGAAATGAGTTCGCATAATCACTAGGTTGCAAAAACAGCGACGAAGTTTAACCGCGAATTTCTTGGCACGTAGAGACCTGCAGCTTCGGACGTCAGATAGCCAAGTTAAAACTCAATTTACCGAATTTCAAGTGAATCTTAAGAACTCGACCAATTTTAAGTAAATTAAGAATATATTTCGGAAGAGAATGGGAGCACGCGCGGAAGAAGAGAGAAGCTATATAGGATGATAAGCTCCGAATGATGTCGAAGAGAATTAATGAGATACTTAAAGAGAAGGTTTCTTCCTGCAGCAAAAATGACTCGTCCCTTTAAAGCTCTGTTTCGTCTGCAGCTACTTAACGCTTTAAGATCTTACATTACGGGCTATTCGTGTGTATACTTATACGTGTTATGTATACACATCTGGGGATCTACTTAATAACCAGTGAGTCAAAATATGCCGATAGTCTAGTAACTAGATACGCGCCTGTTTAGTTGCGATCGCTAGGCAAATTTAGCTTCGAGGTCAATCAACTGAACCGTGGATTCGTGGCTCGAGATTGGATCGTCGATGTCAACCACATCGTTTCGCTAATTTAATCAAAAATCTCTTGAGCGTCCAATATTTTTGTTTTTGTTTTATCCTTTCTCGTGTGCCGACAAAAATTAATACGTACAAAAATTACGTGTATCGTTAAAGATTTAATGACAAGAAACAGATTCTCAGTGTGTCATAATAACAGAATTATGTCATAATTTTTTTAAAATAATCTCTATAGCGTTCAATATTTTTTTGAAATATTTTTTATCCTCTCTTGTGCGCCAACAAAAATTAATACGTAAAAAAATTAGGTATAATAGATTCTCAGTATATCATAATAATAGTAGAATCGTGTTATAATTAAAAAAATCTCTATTGGGTCCAATATTTTTTTATATTTTTTTAATCCTCTCTTCTGTGCTGACAAAATTAATACGTAAAAAAATTACGTGCATCGCTAATGCCAAGGCACAGATTCTCAGTGTATCATAATAGAGAATCGTGTCATAATTTTATTTTAAATAATCTCTATATAACGAAAAAAATAAGATCTATTGTTGCGAGCACGTAAAAAGTAGTTTCGCTGTCTCATTGACTGATTATAATAAATTGTCAACGCGTCGTGTCTCGCATACGTTGCGCAAAATTCCTCGGTGTCGCATTCGCGAGACTCGGCGAGATCTCGTCGACCT